ATGTGATTCTTTTTATCGTCATTTTGTTGGTATAAGATGTATATATATGCACATATTTATATTTTTTTAAGTATTAGAAACATGTTATAGGGCTGAATAATAAATGGATTGCTATTTATACATGTTGAGGATGATAGTTTTATTTTTTTATAGAATTTTTGGTGAATTTTATTCCTAGTTTGAGTGCTGGAGTTTTTTCAGGTTTTATGTTCTGAGTTTAAAGCATTGTTTGAGGGACCAAACGAACTCCGTTTAGCAAATTAGATACCATTGAAAAGCTCTAGATGTCTAATTTAATTTGAAATTAGTTTTAGGTTATTTAGAGTTCTGTGCGAAATGTTATGAGTTTTTAAAGGAGTAACGGTCAGGCTGCCAGTTTTTGTTAAGTTTTGTGATTTTGTGTAATTAATGGGTTTTTATGTCTTCATGTTAATGAATGATGAGAATGGTCTATTAGGCACTGTTTTAACGTGATCAATGTGTTTGATGAGTTGTTAATGTAACGACCCTGGAGGGTTGTCCGTCACTGTAACTAACTTTAACATATACTTTCTGAAACTCTCATAATCTGATAGACCTTTTTTTTAAACTTACTGTAACGATATAAATTCTGGTTTCCATTTTTGAACATAGCAAAGTGTTTATACTTCAAAAATAATTCCTTTTCAAAAGCATAAATTTACACATAGGTATATTTTTTTTGCTTCTCAAAATCCTACTAGCTTACACAAACTCGACAATCATACTACAATCTTCCAAAACACAAATTTATAGACATATTCAACAAAATCCTTTAAAACTTTAAACTATTACGGAAATAACTATGTGCGGTATCCATTCCCTAACCTCCAATCTGCTCGTCCGTTGCCTCGCCATCAGTCCATCAAACATTATGTGCAGGTTACTTACCTACAGTATAAATACTCTGAAATGAGCTTACGCTCAGCAGGTAGGAACTATTACTCGCAAAATAACTGAAAGTTCACATGACTATATATGCATGAATTGGTTATGCTGTCTTATGATGTTTTATCATAGTTTTACTGTCTGACTTTATCTTATTTACTGATGGGCCCGAGTGCTCGTACAATCGTGCAATCATCGGGACGTAAGGGTTTGCAAGATCCCCAACGAGACCATGATTTAAACTGAACTAAGTACCTCCCTTGCGGAGGCTGGTACAACACTCAATTGTGTTTCTTCTTATAAGTTTCTCTTGACTTATTAAGGTGTATGCAATATGACAAAGCAAAGTATATTATTATTATAATATGAAATATACTTAAACATATATAATTCATGTGTACTGTTTATTTTAAAATCTATTTATACTATAGATGAGATTCCTACTTACCTATTTTAGGAAGTGGAATCCTCTATTCGCCAAAGAGTTTGTTCTCTTTCTTTCTTGTTTTTGAGAATGAACACTCATTAAGAGCGTGAGAATAACTATCACTTGCTATTCTATTTTAGCAAGCTTGAAAGAAAGTCTAACTTTTCTATTTATGGCTCGCTTTCTCTTTTCCTATCTTAAGGATTGTAAAACCTTGTTTCTAAGTTAAAGATTAGGTTTATTGAATCATGATTACCTTACTTTTTATTAGCAAAGTCTGAAATCGACATACTTTCCTGAGATTATACTTCGAGTTCTTCAACGAACTCCTCTGTTCCACACCAAAACTGTTTTAACAATTATGTAGTGTTTTTTTTTCTAAGAAAATAGTTTAAAGCTTTTATTTAGAACTAAAACCAAGTTTAGCCTCAAATTCTAGAACTAAAACTAGGTTTAACCTCAAATTCTTAAACTAAATTTCGGCGGAGTTACGCCTTATTTTTCTATGTTTCCCAAGCTAACTTTAGCTCGCTTTATCCATTATTTTCACCTTCAAACACAAACCATATCCTTTCTCTTTCAAATACACTATCAACATCATCATAGTTCTAGGGTTTCTCTACATTTCTATCAAAATTCTCTATATCAAGAATTACTAGAAACAAAAGTTCAATAACCAAGAATTTATCATTAGTTCACTAGATTTCAAGTTCCTTAACCATTACAAGCAAATCAATATTTTTAGTAAAATTTTTTCCATACTTCCCTACA